TATCACGTTATAACGTGATAGCGCTTGGATTTTTTTTTTCCTGCCTGATAGCAACACGCTTCCGTACATCTCTGCCTACAGATGATCAAAAGGATTTAGATCAAGGCTCAGAAGGTCACTTTAGAGCCCAATGTTTTGTTCTGAGTCTTTAGGTGTTTTTAGATGTGTGAATATATGACTAAGACTTAAGTTTTCTGACAATGGGCAGCACATTTTGTACCAAAACACCTTGATAGTCTTGAGATTTTATTGTACCCTGCTCAGATTTGAAACACTCAGTTTGCAGCAATGCAGCTCCATAATGTAACCAAACCTTGGCAATGTTTTTTATTTTTACAAGCTTTTTCCTTTTTTTTTTTTCTTCAGGAGCTTTGTCAATGTGCATTCAGGCAAAGTCCACTCCTGCTTTTTTCGTGATTTGCTTTTAACAGTGGTGTCCTCTTCGGTCAGCTTCCATTAAATCCATGTTGGCTCAAACAGTGACRGATGGTGCGATCTGACACTGATGTACCTTGACCTTGGAGTTCACCTCTAATCTCGTTGGAAGTTCTTCTGGGCTCTTTGGCTACCATTAGTATTATCTGTCGCTTCAGTTTGTCATCAGTTTTTCCTTCGTGGCCACATCCAGGGAGGTTGGCTACAGTCCCGTGGACCATAAACTTCTAAATAATACGTGAGCTGCAGTCACAGGAACATCAAGCTGCTTAAAGATGATCTTCTTCTTTTAGATTTTATTGGCGGATGGCAAACCAACTTAAGGTGCATTTACCACCACCTACCATAGGGTGGATATCAATGATAGCTGCTTAAAGATGATCTTATAACTCTCTCCTTAACTTCCTGTGGTCCATAATCAGTGTGGATACCAAACAGCTGTGACTAGCAAAACAAGCAACAAATGATCAAATTAGCCTCACAATATCAAWAAGTAAATCAAAAGTAGGATCTATTGTCAAACAAAAACTGAAGGAGCAATGGCAAAAATAACGGGAAGAAGATRACAAAGCAAGATGGTTTTATAGGATTCTGAGACAAGTGGGAGAAATGAGAACAGGAGGAAGGAACAGAAAAGAACAAAGATTAATAAGCAGACTTAGATTTGGACACACGGCTCTGAACAATACGTTATACAAAATCCAAAAACATGATACAGGTCAATGTGAGCACTGTGGGCAAGAAGAAACTATAGAACATGTCATTTTAGTAGCAGGGAATACGAACAACACAGAAGATGGATGATAGAAGAATTAAGAAAAATCAAAGAAACATTTAATATAATAAATATATTACAAAAAGAAACCAGAAGTAAATGTATATGAATTGTGTTAAGTTTTTTTTTAGAAAAACAAAATTAGAAAATAGAATATAAGCAACATAAAAGAAAAGTATTTTGATCCACACTCCATATCAGTAGATGGCGGTAATGCAAACCTTCCGTTGTTTGCCAACCAGCATGAAACAACACACAAGAAGAAGAAGAAGAAGAACAGCTGTGACTACTTCTGTCAGCTGACTGATTACAAGACTGAAGACACAGGACACACCTTAGTTTAACATGACTCTAGTCAAATTGTTTTCAGTCTTTTCTAAGGGTATAACGCTTCTTGTTGAGGGCAGTTTAATTATTATTATTATTATTATTATTATTATTATTATTATTATTTAATTTGTTGATGAAGCACAATTCAAAAGCAATTTCTAATTTTAATTGGTGATTTTTGAAAATATTTTTCTTAAAATATTTTTTAATCAGGTTCAAGTTATTTCAGTGACCTTTCTGAGTTTATTTTTCTTAAAATGGAACAAACTGGATCCGTGTCTGGTGTGGCTTTAAATGCTGCTTCCCAGCATCTGAGTGAACTCCTTCCTTTTACACTTTTGTTTGCCATCAGCAGCACCGCAGCCAGYGTGTGGCTCCACCTGCTCCTCACTCATCCTCCACCTCTGTCCCTGTAGTTATTCCGTCTGCCTGTCCCCCCAGTGGACTACCCTCTCTGAGTGCTGCAGCAACACCAAACTGGCAATAAATCACATTGCATTATCACCGCGCCGTGCTTCGCCTGGCTCTCCCCGCTCCGCCCACAGCGCGCTTCCCATTGGCCGGCGAGGCTCCTCGCTCTGCCCCTCGGTGCGGGACATCCGCGCAACCGCACGTCCCGCCTCCTTCCTTGGGGCCGGTGATTGGAAGAGAGGGGGCTCTCCTTGGCCTGTCAATCATGTCCCTTCCTGTGCGCCTCGCATTTAGTGCTGCTCTCTGCGACGCACGGAGAGCGGAGCGGAGAGACGCGCTGCATACCAACAGAGACATACGGCAGGGTCTTTTTTTTGGTCAGGACGCACAGACCCCACAACATGCTCCAAGACAAGAAATATGATCATATCTGATGAACTTTGGACGGTTTAATTTCTAACACTGCTATTTATGCATTGTCAGAAAAAAAATCTTCTGAAAGACAAACTAAGTGTCTGGAATATATACATATATTTTTTTTCTGCTTTAATATTTGATTGAGAGAGAGTCTGCGTCGGGGAAGATTACAGCCGGGATTAATCAAAAGGAAAAGTCAAGRCTGATGTCATCCGCTCACGTGCAGGAGAGTTACTGCTGTTGACATTCGTCCACTTTTTTGTAATAAACAGATTTCCTGCAGCGACTCCATCAGAGAGGAGGATATACCGTTTTCTGTCAGGCTGCAAACAAAACAAGCAGAAAAATCAATCAGAACTCCATCATGGGCTGCCCTGGTTTGCGGAACGCATTTGCTGGTTTGATCCTGGTTCTGCTGTCTAAAGGTAAGTTTCTGAGTGATGTGATGACGCTCCTTGTCGCCGCTGCGCCTCAATCTTTGCCTTTTAATTTTTAATGCTTGTTGGGGGGGGGGGGGGGGAAACAGATACTAATGATGATGATGATGATGATGAGGAGGAGGGCGGGTGTCTGTACCTGCATGTGAATCACGCGTGTCTGCTGTGCCTCTATACGTTTGCTTGATGCGAAAGATAAAAGATGCTGTTTGCTCGTGCGCACGAGCGCGTGCAGGTCAGCCCGGAGCAGGGTTCATCTAAACCTCGTGGTTCAGTGTAAACAYCGAGTGATGCATGTAGAGGTGTTTATAGAGAGGGGTATGGGGGCGAGGGGAATAGACCCCCATCCCCGGTCCTCCGTGAACATTCCTTTACTACGTGACTTGAATGGGACGGCATCCCCACGCGCACGACGCATTTCGGAGAGGAATGGAGGGGCGTGTGTGTGTGTGTGTGTGTGTGTGTGTGTGTGTGTGTGTGGAGGGGGATATGTTTTAGTACTGGTTGAAGCACTGCAGTCAGTCAGGTGAGTGTTTTTATTTTGGTGTTCTTTTCTCAAACCCCAAGGTCGAGATAGAATAGAATAGAATAGAAATTGTCTCCATAATTTTCTCTCAGCAAGTGAACACATTAATTTTTTAAAAAAAATTATAAAACATAGTATACATTAAGAACTGTGCTGAGTTATAAAGAACCATTTTGTAAACAGTGGGCCAAATTTGGATCAAGTCAAGTTRTAATAAACACAGCTAATAAACAAACTGATCAGTTTGACCCAATGAGTTATGTTTTCTGCTCTGCACACAAAAAATAAAAATCATAAAATTAGAGCTACGACCTCGTTAAGTTCAAAAGACCAATCCAAAATCTGGATCAAAATAATTACAATGTGAATTGATGGCTGGTGCTAACAGCTATTTGAGTCAGCTAGCTAGAGTCAGCTAATGTTTTAGACACCTAAATTCATATAGGTTGAAGCTGGTGACGTTGAATAAAAAAATATTTAAAAAAATCTTGTAGCCACGTTATTTCTCCCATGTGGTCATGAGATAAAAATTTTTGTATCCACTGTCACAGGACAGTCACCACGGGCTATATGGGAGTCCAAGCTACATTTTAAAATAAAGCCAACCAGGTTAAACGTCTTAGCTTTGCTTATTAGAYTCTAAACTGTCGTCTGATTTGGTCAATGTCCGCTCTAAAAGGCAGATTGTGAAGAATGATGCCACCACAGCGTCAAACATTTTGGCCCAAYATTTGGTCAAACCAGCCCACAAAGATCACAAGTATCGAGTTATGAAAACTTTTCATCTGTAAAGACAAGMAAAAATAAAAACTATGGTTGTGCGGTATTGTCAAGTAAATTAAACACGATTAATTTAGCCAATAATGATCAATATGACAATTAATCCCCTGAATCCCTGGATGCCTTAGCCTGGTAAAAACCAGACCCTTGTCCTTCACTTTGCTACGTACGAGGGTCTGGACTCTCTGCTATAGAGAAGCATTTCTTGCTGGAGGCGGGGCCTCTGCTGAAGTTTAAAATGATTGAATCGGTTAGCCGCGACGTATGTCACTGTGAAGGAGGCTAAGCTAAGAAGCTAACCGGAAATCACGTGCATTGTAAACAACCCTACTGAGAGGAGAAATGTACCGAGTTGAAAGAGACGACTGTAAATGAGAGCTGCTGCTTTGTCAGACAAATTTAATTTAATTTGGAAGCCTTTTCAACACGGACTGGTTTCATTCACTTCCTCCACGGCCATTGCTAAACTAGCAGACACTGCACAGAAAATCAACATCGTTCAAAACTCCTCCTTCTGTTTGCTGATTGGCCCAGGTAAAATAAACTGCAAACAGACCTTCACAGAAAATCGATGTTCTGTTCTCTAATTGGCCCGAATGAAATGCTCCTGAAGAAATCCTTGTCTATGGGAGAGATCCCAGATGGAACAGTGAAGGGAAACTAGAATTGAGTGGAACTGTAAGAAGGGCCAGGCTAGCATGTCCTAGTCTCATGACCAATTTAAATCACTCCAGTAGGAAAGATTTGCTCTCTAAAAATCTGTTCCAAATTTTCGTGAAAGTATAGATTTCAGGCTATACATCAAATGTTAAATTGTGTTGATATGCCAAGTAAAACTGGAGTTATAATAAATAAATTACAGAACTTTTTTATGTTTTTCATAGCTGAACTACGTTGCAGTGGGAGGCAGTGAAAAATGGACAGATTCATGAAAAACACCTCAGTCCATGTAGTCTCACCCCCACCCAGACAGTCTGCCTGGTGGCATTATTCATATTAATCATCAAGTGCCAAAAAAAAATAAAAACAATCAATATTTTTTTTCTGACAATTAATTGCACATGAAAAGATTTTGCCCGACCCTTAAAACACAGTTTTATTTCAGTCAAGCCACCCCCAGAACCCAAAACTTCAGGCCATGGTACTAGTCTTTCATAGAGGTCATCTATGTTGAGTGATCACAGAAAGTAGTACAATAATAACTTTTCAAGCAAACAAAAAGAACATCTCTTAAAAAGGAACATGTAGTTCCTTCTGCTCAGGCCCACTGAGCAGAAAAATGAAGGTAATAAAAAGTATTGATCTTTAAAATATTTGCTTAAAAAACTAATTACTGCTGGTATGAAGGACTGTTTTGTCCCATTTCTTTTGTAGCAGCATCAGGACCTGTAGAGTATCAATACTTCTTATCTGAGGGTAACAGTTTGAAGGCAGTATGATCTGGATGCTTTGGATCAGCTGGAATCTTTTCACCACAGATCTCWGTCTGATTTGTTCTGGATTATTCAGACTGATACCCAGCAGCTCGCTGGCAGAGGTGACTGTTTTCTCTCAGCGTGTTCTTCTGTGCTTCTGTTGCGCTAAAAAACTAGCAAAGAATGCAAGATGTTAATTCCACCAAAASCACTGTCAAACATTTGGAGCATGTTATGGTCTAAATCAAATTGAACTTAAATAATAAAGCTGGACATTTTAGAGAGTGACTGAACATTATTTCCACACTTTATACATCAAATTCCTGCAATTAGAAAATTCCGTGTGGAAATCTCGTGACTTTTTCAACATAATTTGCATAACAAAACCTGACAGTAGCTGCGTTTCCATTGACCATGAAAATGCGCAAATTAGAATTTCRAAAATAAATTTGCTCAATGGAAACACGTCAATTTCGAAAAAATAATACGTTTTTCGACAAAATGTTTTTGCGCTGTATGAGGTGGTTTTTCAGCCATATCGAAATAGGTGTTTTTTGCAAAACTGCAATGGAAACACTTTTGTCGCATCACAGGAGTCACATGATCAACAACTGGCTGTTTCTACTGGCGAAAAAGACGATGACAAAGACAACAGGAAGTAGAAATAGTAGTAATATCACAGTAGTAGTATAAAATAGTAAACTCACCAACTACAATTTCCCAAAAACAGCATGCGTAGCCACTCCCAAGTAGGGACTTGTCACTGGAAAGCCTCAATAAAAGACACCGTCGTCTCCTCTGATGATGAGCGCTAGTGTCATGGTAGCAACATGCTATGTGTTTACATCCATTGCCACCATGTTTGTAACGACTTATCGTGAGAACAAATGTATTTATGCGTGACTTTAATAGCATTTCTTAATTAATGGAAACATCACAGTTGCGAAACTGTGTTTTTTCGACCTTAACAGAATATCGACAAAGTTTTGCGCACATTTGCAATGGAAATGCAGCTAGTGCCACTATGTTTCTGTTGTCCTCAGGGAAGAGTAAATATANTCGACAAAATGTTTTTGCGCTGTATGAGGTGGTTTTTCAGCCATATCGAAATAGGTGTTTTTCGCAAAACTGCAATGGAAACACTTTTGTCGCATCACAGGAGTCACATGATCAACAACTGGCTGTTTCTACTGGCGAAAAAGACAATGACGAAGACAACAAGAAGTAGAAATAGTAGTAATATCACAGAAGTAGTATAAAATAGTAAACTCACCAACTACGATTTCCCAAAAACAGCATACGTAGCCACTCCCAAGTAGGGACTTGTCACTGGAAAGCCTCGATAAAAGACGCCGTCGTCTCCTCTGATGATGAGCGCTAGTGTCGTGGTAGCAATGTGCTATGTGTTTACATCCATTGCCACCATGTTTGTAATGACTTATCACGAGAACAAACGTATTCACGCGTGACTTTAATAGCATTTCTTACTTAATGGAAACATCACAGTTGCGAAACTGTGTTTTTCGACATTAACAGAATATCGACAAAGTTTTGCGCACATTTGCAATGGAAATGCAGCTAGTGTCACTATGTTTCTGTTATCCTCAGGGAAGAGTAAATATACAACATATTAAATCTTATTGCATATTTTAAAGCACCCCCCGCCCCAAATTCTCCCTATACCACAGGATGTCTCATGTCTTATTAGCTGTGTGCCCCATTCTCACCATTTTCTCTGATTTCCCTCAGCACATCTAGCRTGAGCAGAGACAAACACTCACACCTGGCTCAATTAGTCCTGCTTTAGTCTGGTGGGAAATCAGTATATAAATAAATTACTCAGGCCCCTTAATAACAATAATTGATGTGTCAGTGCAATGAGATATGAGGTTAACAACCTGCAGATGCAGRCAGGCTGCACCTTTCCTTCTCCTGAGCTCCTTGTGGGCAGGGAGAGCCCAGCTGGTCATGGTTGGCTTCCCACATCAAGCCCCGCCATATCCAGTCCAGGCAGACAGCAGACGGACAGCCCCGCAGGAAGCGCRCAGCACACAAACACAAAGGGCTCAACATCGCACTAACCAGACCCAGCCCAAAGTGGGTCTCTCGTCTCGCGTTTCAGCTCTGTAAATTTGTAAACCTGTGGGCTCTGTGCGGTACGGAGGTGCAACCAATCATCTCAGACACAGTTGAGGAATGATTGAACATCGATGTGGGGTGTGCACACGCTGCCACACGTGRATCAGATTCATCTTGGAGAAGGATCC